ATTAAAAAAATAAAATAAATGTCTTCCATATGCCACCCATTGTCTACTCTCATTCCAGGGAAGAGAGAAGACTCCCTGATTGCCTACTGTCAAGACATCAATGTCACAATTTAGGCTCTTACATCTGTTGTCTCTAGGATAGGACAACAATATGGATAGTTAGGACGAAAGGAATACGTAACCCATTTTTCTCCAGGTACTTTTAAAAGTCTGTAAAATATCTAAGGAATAAAAACTTCATATAACATAACACAAATATCATAATACAAATTTATAATAGCCTCATGTTTTTTAATTGTTAAGTTTCCTACATGCCCTTTACTAATTTTCCCCAGTCTCCAAAAGATATGTACACCCCATGCAATATTTTCATTTATGTGGTCAAACCTAACAGATAATGTATCAATTCAGCTTTGTCCACTGGGATTTTCTTTTTTGGAGCCCTTCTTCCTTTGTGTTTAATATAGGTGGTTGCGTCCTAGGCTTGCTCCATAGCTGCCTTCCTGGGCTTCTTAAGACTTCTCTTGTGGGGAGACAGGTGAGGAGGTGGAAGCATGTGTAGTGGGGACAAATGGTGGTGGAAAAACCAAAACAAAATGAAATTTAAAAATAATAAAAAAAATCATCCTTGCCAGTTTGGCTCAGTGTTTGGAGCATTGGCCTGCAGACTGAAGGGTCCCAGGTTAGATTCATGTCAAGGGCTTATACCTTAGTTGCAGGCTCCTACCGGGTCGGGGCTCATGTGGGAGGCAACCAATCGATGTGTTTCTCTCACATCGATGTTTCTGTCTGTCTTTCCCTCTCTCTTAAAAAAAAAAAAAAAGGAAAAATATCCTCAGGTGAGGATTAAAAAATAGTAATAAAAAGTACAAATAATAATAAAAATAAAAGTAAGCTATAAAAAAAAAATTCTCCCTGTTCTGTGTTGAACCTCCTACTGCCTGGATCTTAAACCTTCTTCCTCTTTCTTGTTTTACAGGATTATTTTGGTCAACCACCTCATCTAATAGCTTCCAGAGAAAGTGACCATAGGAGGTAAACTTTGTGACACCTTATCTGTCTGAAAATGTTGATTCTTCGCTCATAGTTTAGCTGGGTATGGAATTCTAGGTTAGAAATACTTTTCCCTTGGAATTTTAATGGCGATGCCCCACTGTCCTCTAATTTCCAAGTGTTGCTGTTTATAAATGTAGTTTTGTTCCTCTTTTTATTTTTATTCTATGTTTTCCCCCTTAAGTAAAATACCTGTTTTCTACCACTCCATAGTTCAATCTGCACTTTTATCGCAATTTCTGTGGTTTTACTACAGGATATTGGAGCCTGAATTATAGCTCTTACTTTTTTCTACTTTTGTCCCTCTCTTTCTGTTTATTCTCTGGAGGACAGTTTCATTTTATCTTCTTATCCTTTCTATCGAATGTTTAATTTTAACTCTCTTGTTCACATGAAATAAAACAGAAGTAATATATATCATATATATATATATTACTTCTGTTTTATTTCATGAGATCTTATCTTTCCAAGGAATTTTCCAATTTTAAGTTTTCTTCTGCTTTTCATATTGTTTCCTCTGAACTCCCCCATTATCTGGTGTACTAGTGTATGTGTGTTATTGTTCTTGAAGGTTTTCCTCAAATGTTGGATCTTTGATTATTTATATTTAAGAATAAGGCAATAAGCAGAGTTAATTGGAAACTCTTTGTGCACAGATGGGGCTTGCTAATTGATGGCTTTTGTTCTAAGGTGACTAGAGTAAGCAGAGTGTTTTTATTAGGTACCCTCAAATGTCAGGTTCTGTAAGTCACGTTGCAGGGCCGATACAGTTTCTCCAGAGAAGAATTCTCCAGCCTCTATCTGGGGAATATTTGCATGGCCACCACTGTTGAGGTTCTAGTATCAGAGTAGGGGGAATAGAGCTGTGGATTCAACATTTCGCATGCGTGTTTTCACCCAGTCTTTTTGTTTTCAGCTCAGTGCTCACTACTGCCTTCAGCTGTGCCTGGTGTCCCTGAGATGGTGTTTTGCAGATTCAATTTCTCCCTCTGGTATCCTGCAGGGGTTGTTACCAGACTAAAAAGGGTTGGAGAGGGGATATGTGAGTTTAACTGCTTTATATATAGACTAGAGGCCCGGTGCACAAAAAGTTGTGCACTCAGCGGGGGGCCGGGGGAGCACTGCTCAGCCAGGAGCCAGGCTTGCCTCACGGCAGTCAGACATCCCCCAAGGACTTCCGGACTGGGAGAGGGTGCAGGCCAGACTGAGGGGACCCCTCACCCCT